ATAAAACTGGCTTATCATTTTATGTTTAAGAGTTATCATGAAGCTGGGGCCAGCAGGTTGTGTGGTGGTTAAGGGCACTGGAACTCCCACATGACTAACCACAGTTCGAGTCCCAGACCTGATGGCGTGCTTTCTCTCTCTCTCTCTTTCTCTCGCTCTCACTCTGTCAAAAAAAAAAAAAAAAAAAATAGAATTACCATCAAGAAATGTAGAGACAGGAAGGCCCTGTGGCCTAGTGGCTAGGGAGCCAGATTCCCACATGGCCAACTGATCATTTCAAATACCAGCTCTGACAGCTTGAAAAGCAAGCTGAGGGTGTGTGCATGTATGTGCCAAATCCTGGCAGGGTGGAAAAATTGAGGAGAAGGAACTACATATAACCATACCCCCAATTAGGGGGTGCTTTCTCCTTCCTCCCTCTTTCCATCTTTAGAAAGTACACATGCCAGGGACCAGCAGTTGGCATAATGGCTGTCACTGGACTCCCATGTGGTCGATGGCGGTTCAAGTCTCAGACCTAGTGGCTTAAACTCATGCCGGGTACATGTGCATGTGTGCCCAAGATCCCAAGAGAATGGAAGAGAAGGGACTTCAATGTGGCCATCCCCTCCGGGGGGTGATTTCTCACTTTCTGTCTCTCTCTCTCTCTCTCTCTGTCTTTCTGGTGAGTGCACATGCACTATAACAAAAACCTCTCAAAAAAAAAAGAAGAGAAAAATAGAAAGTGCACATGCCAAACCTAACCAAAGAAATCAAAGACCTCTACAAGGAAAACTATGAAAATCTGAAAAAAAGAAATCTAAAATGACACAAGGAGGTGGAAGGACATCCCATTTTCCTGGATCAGATTAATATAATCAAAATGACAATTCTACCCAAATTAATCTACATATTTAATACAATCCCAATCAAGTTACCAGAGAATTTCCTCACACATTTAGAAATACAATCATAGAATGTGCCTGAAATAATAAGACTCCGTATTGCCAAAGCAATACTGCTCAAGAAGAGTGAAGTAGAAGGCCTCTCACTCCCTTACCCAAAAATATATTACAAAGCTGTGATAATCAAAACAGCATGGTGTTGGCACAAAAACAGACATGTGGACCAGGGGAAGAGAATAGAGACCCCAGACATAAACCCCCAAACATAGAGCCAATTGATTTTTGACAAAGGGTGACAGTCTATCCAGTGGGGAAAAGAAAACCCTTGTAGAAATGATACTGTAAAAAGTGGTTATCCACATGCAGAAAGATGAATCTGGACTCCTATCTCTCACCATAAACAAAAATCAACTCAAAGTGGATCAACGATCTAAACCTAAGATCAAACTATTTCCCCAGTGGGAAACTCTGGGAGACATTGGACTAGGCAAAGACTTCTTAAGTAAGACCCCAAAGGACCATCAATAATCCCAAAAATAGAAAAGTGGGATTACATCAGATTAAGAAATTTCTGCACAGCATGACACAATAATTAGTGTAAATCAACAACCCTAGGAATGGGAGAAAATTTTTGTAAACTATGCCTCAGATAAGGAACTGATAACCAGAATACATAGCAAACTCAAGTGGCTTACTGGAAAAAAAATAAATGATCAACCCAATTAAAAGATAGGAAAATGAGCTGAACAAACAACTCTCTAAGGAAGACATATGAACAGCCAAAAAGCATATGAAAAAATGCTCAACATAAGGGAGATGCAAATAAAAACCACAATGAGAGGGACCAGCAGTTGGCTATGTCACTGGACTCCCATATTGTTGACTATGGTTCGAGTCCCAGACCTGGTGGCTTAAACTCACGCTGGGCGCATGTGCATGCATGCCCAAGATCCTAAGAGAAGAATGGAGGAGAAGGGATTGCAGCATGGCCATCCTCCCAGGGAAGGGGGAGGGGGAGTGATTTCTCATTTTCTGTCTCTCTGTCTCTTTCTGTTTTTCTGGCTAGTGCATGCACCCTATAGAAAAAAAAAAAAAAAACAGAACCCTAGCATTTGATAGAAAGTAAGTGAATTTGGAAGATTTACTCCTGAGTGAAGCAAATCAGGCTATGAAAGCAAGACATTGTATGTCTCCACTTATTATATGCCAACTATCCGCAATCTATGAAAGAAACTGAAAGATTAGAAGATATAAAGCATGAAAAATGGTTACAGATAATGAGTTACAGTGTGGGAAGAGGGTGAAAAATGGAGAAGAGTGTGAGGAAAGGAATCAAGGAGAAAATAGAGAGGCAAGACCTTTATGGGACATAGAAATGGATGATTATCTGTTGATGATAACATGTATAGTAACCGCAACTTGACTGGCGTGAAGTGTATTCATGTTGGGTAAGTTCACCTTATAAGCTGTAGTGACTTATAGCGATTGAATGTATAAAAGAAATTAAAATAAAAAAGAAAAAAAAAAAAGAAAAGAAAGTGCACATGCCCTTTGTCAAAAAAAGGAAAAAAGGGGGGGGGGCACAGAAACTAAGCCAATAATTTGAAGAATGAGAACAGAGAATCTCAGTACATGGTTATGCCTTTGTACATTAATAATTTTACCATTCACCATTCTAGCTCAACTGTTTGGTAAAGTGGGTCATAATAATTTAAAACGTCAGTGTTAAAAGTATCTGTCAGGGCCAGCAGGTGGTATGTGGTTAGGGGTGCTGGACTCTCATATGGCTGACTGTGGTTTGAATCCCGGACCTGGTGGCTTGCTTTCTCATGTTCCCTCTCATCTCTCTCTCTGTCCCTCTGGCCAAGTTAAAAATAAATAAATAAATAAATAAATAAGGTCAAATAAAACAATTCTTTAAAAAAATTAAAATATAAAATAAATAAAAAGTATCTGTCACTGGGGCCAGCAGGTGGCATACTGGTTAAGGAACTAGACTCCCACATGGCCAACAGTGGTTCAAGTTCCAGACCTGGTGGTTTTACAATCACACTGCATGTGTGCCCAAAATCTGAGAGGAGACCAGGGAAGAAAGGACTATAGTGTGACCATCCCCCACAGGGTGATTTCTCTCTGTCTTTCTTTGTCTCTCTCTCTCCAGTGAGTGCATGCACCCTATGGGAAAAAAAAAGGTCTGTCATTTAATTGTATGACCTTGAATTTAAGTCCCTAAACTACTTTCCCCCTCAATTTTCTTCTCTAGAAACATGACAATTCCTACAGCACAGGGTGGGTATACTGAGTAAATTAGGTAATTAGTAACACAAAAGCATATGGGGCTGGCCCCACAGCCTAGTGGATAATGAGGCCGGGTTGCACATGACTGACCATAGTTCAAATCCCTGTCCCAGCAGCATGAAAACCATACCAGGTATGTTAGTATGCTTAAATTATCTTTATGCAGGAGAAATGAAGAAGAGATTGCAGCATGACCATGCTCCACTGGGGGGTGCTTTCTCCCTGTCTGTTTCTCTCTGGCAAGCACACATACCCTGTACCAATTAAAAAACAAATGAAGCAGCACATGGTAAGCACTCAATGAATGTTATTATGTATAATTAGAAAGTGATATTCAGAAAAGGTGTGATTTTAATAACTATTGTTGAAGTCACCAGGTGAACAAGTATAGGAGAAAACAACAGGAAAGACAGTCAAACATCCTAGGTTGAAAGCCCACTAAATTCACCAATATACAAATCTGACAGAAAGGCTCATCAAATGTCAAGTCACATGATATCATAATGACTACCTTCTCAACATCACTGAACTATCTACAAGTTCACAAACTTTACCAGGAGCTTGAAAAGAATAACTGGTTTTTGTTTTTTGTTTTTTTTTTAGAGAGATTTTCACTGTACGGTGCGTGCGCTCGCCAGACAGAGAGAGACATAGAGACAGAAAGCGAGAAATCACCCTCCAGGGGGGATGGTCATGCCGCAATCCCTTCTCCTCCATTCTCCTCTCGGGATCTTGGGCACGCACGCACACGCGCCCGGCGTGAGTTTCAAGCCACTGGGTCCGGGACACGAACCGCGGTCGACTACGTGGGAGTCCAGTGACATAGCCATTACGCTAACTGCTGGTTCCCAAGAATAACTGGTTTTAAAGCATGATCCAATCAAGATCCTGGCAAACATGAAATAATCCTAGTTAGTTATCAAGAACAAAAAAAGAAATAAAAAGTGAAGACATTTTTGGCTAATACTAAAGTCTTCTCTCCTGACCTCTTGTTTTTGTTGCTGTTTCGCTGTGTTTTGTTTTTGAGAGATTTTTTTTTGGTATAGGGCGCATGCGCTCGCTGGAAAGACAGAGAGATAGAAAGTGAGAAATCACCCCCCATGGTAGATGACCACGCCACAAGCCTTTCTCCTCCATTTTCTTCTCAGGATCTTGGGCATGCACGCAACACACCTGGCATGGTTTCAAGCTGCCAGGTCTGGGACTAGAACCGCAGTCCACTATGTGGGAGTCCAGCGACATCATCTGCTGGTCCCAACTCCTTGGTTGTTTTTAACTACATTAGTTACCTGGCTTAAAAATAGCTTTTGATAAAATACTGTTAAAAATGGAAAGGCAGGAGGCTGGCAGGTGGCACAGTGATTAAAGCACTGAACTCCCACATAGCCGACAGTGGTTTGAGTCCTGGACCTGATAATCTGCTTTCTCACTTTCCCTTTCTTTCTCTCTCTGATCTAATTAAAAATAATAGCAATAGGGGACCAGCAGGTGGAGTGGTGGTTGAGGTGCTGGACACTCCCACATGGCTGACCAGAGTTCAAGTCCTGAATCTGGTAGCTTGCTTTCTCACTTCCTCTCTCTCTCACTCTCATCCTCTGTCTCTCTCTGGTCAAATTAAAAAAATAAATGAATGAATAAATAAAAAATAAAATAAATAATTATTAAAAAAATAAGATCAGTGTTAAATGATCTTTTAAAAAAATAACAATAAATAAAATTAATAAAAAATATATATTTTAAAATATAAAAGCAGATGGAGACACAAATGATCAACTTAAAAGCAGTTAACATACTCACAAACTGTTGATTAATTCTTACCTCCATAAAATCGAATCATACAGCCCAGGTCAGGATTTGTAGCTTCCTCCTGTATGCGCATGGGATCTTCAAACCCCAGCTTAGATAAGTAATCGTAAACAATCTGAAGAGGTCGTTCAGTAGGTTCCAGTCTTCTGCTTATACAATTCAAAAGAAAAATTTTGGTAAGTAACAATAGTGCTTCATTTGGGGGGGGGGGGGGTTAGAGGGTTTTTTTGTTGTTGTTATAGGGCACGTGCACTCACCAGAGAGACAGAGAGCCCAGAGGCAAGAAGTCACCACCTCCCCGGGGGGTTGGGATGCAGGAGATGGCCATGCCACAATCCTGTTTCCTCTGGGCACGAACGCACACAAGCTCACACATGCTTGGTGTGAGTTTTAAGTTGCCAGATCCAGGACCCGAACTGCGGTTGACTACATAGGAGTCCAGCGACATAACTATTACGCCATCTGCTGGTCCTCATTTTTTAAACTCTTTTAATATAGTCCTGAGTTTTGTTTTAGACCAAGATGTTCTTCAATACCACGATTCAACTAGTCTAAGCAAATGGTTTTCAATATTGGTCTCAGGACCTTTCCCTCCCGCCAAGTTTTGCCATAGGGTTTCTACACTCACCAGAGACAGAGAGAAAACAGAGAGGGAAAGTGAGAATCGTTCTTCCTCATTCTCTTCCTGGGATTTCAGACACATACACATGTGTGCCAGGCATGAGTTTAAAGCCACCAGATCCAGGACTCAAACCATGGTTGGCCATGTGGAGCTCAGTGCCTTAATCACCACAACACCTGCTGGCCCCTCAGGACCATTTTCGATTCTGAGAATTCCACTGAGGTATATTTACATAGGTTATATCCATTGATATTTATTACATTAGAAATCAAAACTAAGAATTTCCAGGCCTGTTTCATAGTGTGGTGGTTAAGCACTGTGTGAAGGGAACTGGATTTCACATGTTCACCAGCAGTATGAAACCCAGCCCTCTGCCTTGAAAAACACCACTGGTATGGCCAACAGGTGGCACAGTGGTTAAGGCACTGGACTCCCACATAGCCACAGAAGGTCGCGTCCTGGACCTGATGACTTGAAAAATATATCAACTTGGGACCAGCAGGTGGCATAGTGGTTAAAGGTGGGCTCCCACATGGCTGACTGTGGTTCAAATCCTGGACCTTGAGGCTTACTTTCTCACTTTTTCTGTCTCTCTCTGATGAGTCAGTATGCCCTAAAATACAACCAACCCAAAAGGAGAATGGAGGAGAAGGACTGCAGTGAAACCATCTCCCTGGGGAGAGTGAATTTTCACTTTCCTTCCCTTTGACTCTCTCCAGTGAACACATATGCCCTATGGCAAAAACCTAAGGAAAAAAACAAACAAAACACACCAATGTGTATGCGTGTGTACCTAGAATTCTGACATGATGGGAAAATGGGGAAAAAAAAGGATTGTGACATGACCACTGAAGTGGGGGATGATTTTTCTCTCTCCACTCTCTCTTTCTCTCTGCCAAGTGCACGTACACTCTGGCAATTCAAAAAAAAAAAAAAAAAGAAGTCCGAATTTTAACCTGCTCAGTGGCACAGCAGTAACACATTGCTCAAGTGAAACTGGATCCAAATGGAAGATCCCCAGCCCGGTCAGCATAAAACACACTGACACACATGAGCACCAGGACGCTATGGGCTGGAGACTGGAGAAAGGGCATCACAGCAAGACCAGACCTTGGGAGGCTGCTCATCTCTTCCTCTCCCTCTCTCACATGTGCACACACACCATCATGAATAAGAAGGAAAATAAAATTTCACTTCCAACTATTTATTCACTTTAAAATCATAATAAGCCCATTCACTGTATGTTAACCAATATTTTTATTGTAATTATTTTTTTCCTCCTGATAAGCGTGTCCATGTACACAGGAGAGAGAGAAACCTCCTCAACAGGTCTCTTCATGCCATGATGCCCTTTTCCCTAGCCCTCCAGTTTGTCAGGATCCTGGGCACATGCACTTGCCTAGCATGTTTTCAGGCTGACATGAGGAACCAAATCCAGTCAGCTATGTGGCTTCCAGCCATACTGCTCAGTTTGCTACCCAAATGCATCTTCCAGGCTGGGCCAACGTTTTTAGAAAAAGATATTTAGGGCCGATTCCATAGCCTAGTGGTTAAGGGAGTCAGATCCCATATGGCCAATCGCCCAGCCCCAGTGGCTTAGAGAAACAGTCCAGGTATATACCCAGAATCCCAACAGGGTGAAGAGACGGAGAAAAAGAAATTATGGTGTGACCACACCCATTAGGGAGGTGCTTTCTCCCTTTTTGTCTCTCTCTGACAACTGCATGCATCTCTGGCAATTATAAAAATGAGGAAAAAACATTTTTTTAATTTAACAAGAAGAGTCACTATTTCACATTTTTGCAAATTTCTTTAACTGCTGGTTTAATGGAAGATTTGCCTCTATATTCAGTCTGTCATGATATCATGTCACACAGACTCTAGAAAACATCACTGTAGACTCATGGGAGACTGAACATGAAAAATAGTATCAGTGAGTTATTATTATAAAACCGTTTGACCACACATACCTCTTTAAAGAATCTCAAGCACCCCACAGGGTCTTTTGAGAATCTCTGGTCCAAACATAAAGGCAGCAAAATTATGAGATATAAAAGATTATAGTTGGTCATGTAAGCTATATACATAATTATAGGTGTGGAAATACTTTTTTTTTTTTTTAAGAGAGATTTTTGCTATAGGGCACGTGCGTTCACTGGAGAGACAGAAAACACCCTCAAGGGGATGGCCACATCACAATCCCTTCTCTGCTATTCTACTCTTGGGATCTTGGGCACACATGCACACATTCCCAGTGTGAGTTTTAATCTGCTGGGTATGGGACTTGAACCACGGTTGACTATGTGGGAGTCCAGCAATGTAACCATTACACCATCTGTTGGTCCCAGTGTGGAAATACTTTGCCAACTACATCCCAAGGACTATATATTTCTACTTTCTTCACAGATGATTCTTTCATAAAAATTAGGCATGCATGGCCCAATAATTCCCCCCAAATAATTCTACTACTCGATCTAAGTGAAAGCTAAGACAAAATGAGAATGCCAAGTAATCATTTGTGTTCTCTGGTGACTGTATTTTAAATGACTTTAAAAATGTGTTATAAAAAACTTTCATTTGTTACACTTTAATTTTTTCTAAAATTTACTTATTTAATTCCATGTGTTGTTTTCATTTTTTAATTTGACCAGAAAGAAAGAGAAAGAGAAGGCAAGAAAGAAAACTGCCAGGTCTGGGATTCAAATCATGGTTGGCTATGTGAGAGTCCAGTGCCTCAACCACCATGCCACTTACTGGCACCTAAAAAAACTTTTTTAGTGACTAATGAGAGGTCAGCAGGTGGCATGGAGGTTAAGGCACTGGATCCCACATGGTTGGCTGTAATGTTTGAGTCCTGGATCCAGTGGCTTAAAAATCATACTAGGTGTATGTGCGTGTATGCTCAAAATCCCAACAAGAGAATAAAGGAGAACGATTGCAAAATGATCATTTCTCCCCAGGGGTGATTTCTCACTTTCCCTCCCTCTCTCTACTTCTCTGGTGAGCACACATGCTCTACAGCAGAAACAAAATCAAAACAAAATGGAGCAGATTAATGAGTATTTTGATAGAAGGAGCTACATTAGTTATAATATATAATAGCAAGACAGGTCTTATACAATGCTTTGACTAAAGAGCAGAAGGTTACAAACACAGTCGCTAAGAATATAGGCTCCCAAAGTCAAGACTGCCTGGGTTTGAGTCTCAGTTCTACCATTTATCAACTGTATGCTCCTGAACAAGGTGTCTACTCTCTTCACCTTAAATTCTTCAGTGTAATGGGATTAACAATAGTACCTAATTTACAGGTTTGTTATTATTTTCTTAAAACAAAACATAATAAAATATGTAAAGTGCTTACCCAAATATCTCCCATGTAGGAAGTGTTCAATAACATACTGACAATTATTATCCAAAATATTTTAAGATTAGAATAAAATTTTTAAAGAATGTATTATTGGGGTGTGTGTGTGTGTGTGTGTGTGTGTGTGTGTGTCTGTCTTTGGTCAAATTATAATAAAATGAATGAATAAATAATTCTTTTAAAAATATATATATATTTTAAAAAAAAGAATGTATTATTATTCCAATTTGCTACAGGGCATGTGCGCTCACCAGAGAGAGAGAGAAAGGCGGGGGTGGGGGGAATGAGAAAGCAAGCCACCAGGTCTGGGCTTGAACTACTGTCAGCCATGTGGGAGTCCAGCACCTCAACCACATGCCACTACAGCCACGAGATTAGAATAAAAATTTAACTAGAATAAAACAGACTATTCCCCTCACCTTAAACTACCAACGAAAAAACAAGTATAAGAAAGCGAGTGTGTGTGCAAACTGTCCTAAAGAACGTTAAAAGGATTCTGTATAGAAAACTTAAGGATAGTACTGATTAGGAGAAATGTGACACACTTCATCATGACAGAAAGACAGGAAAGATGTCTATAGTTTGTGGTTGAATAACTAGAAAATGCTGTTTGCAACAAGGTTTAAGTAAAAAAATAGCATGAAATGGGAGTACAACAAAGGTAGATATAAACAACAATCCAAAATGATAATTTGGGAATAGAAATCATACTGATGCGCAAAAAAGACAAAAATAGAACAACACCTGGCCCTGCCTGACGGTTCAGTTTAGACTTTTATCTTCCAAAACTGTAAGATAAATTATTACATGGAGAATAACTAAAAATGAAAAGCCTATAAAGACAATAGAAACTAGAGTTAATAGAAATAGAAAATAAACTTTTCCAAATAAAAATAAGTTGCAATTAATCCCTAGCGAAAGAAAATAAAAATTCACAAACGTCTGTGACAATGCTAGGCATTTCCCCAACACAATGTTAGAATTCTTCTGGGAAACATGCATTTCAGAAAGACTTAAAAAGTAAATAAATAAATAAAACACCCTGGAAAGGCCAGCTAGTCATGTAATGAGAATGATTGAAAGAGGATTAATCTGAAGACAAGGAAGCTAAGGGTATAAAGAGCCGTATCTTCAAATATTGAGAATGATTAGACCATACA